AGTTCTATTATGTTATCTGCCTATCTGAAGTTATGTCTCAGACTAATCATCCTGGAATGTTGTTTTTACTTATGTAACTTTATTGCATGGATTCATTTTTGTCCTGTGGATTTAATGATTGCGTTTATCTATATTTCTCTTCATTCCAGAAAAGGATGGTGATGGCATTTTGTTTGAAAATAATTTATCAAAAAGAATGAAGAGAAAGTAAGCAAAATAGTTAAATGAAAATGCATTTCATTCACAGTAAAATATCTGTTTTGTTTTATCATTCATAATATCTAATCATTTTTACATTATATCATATTTTAGTAATTATTATTTGAATCTCTTTGATTAAGTTTGCTTGGTTAGACACAGGTTAATCTTAAAAGCTCTTGTATTTTCTTAAGTTTGGTGAACATTTGCCTGTTTTCAAAAGTTACAAGGGCAAGAGAATATTTTCTTTCTGAGTTTTACTTTAGCTATAAAATTGTCTCAAACCACTCATAATTGGCTGTGTGGGACATTGTTCCTATCGAACCACAAGTTTCTCCATTTCATAGATACCTCACTCCAACTTTAAATTGCTTTGGGAATTGGGGAGCAATTATAATAACTGTTGCATAAAAATATTTACTCTTCCACATGTGTGGATTTGAGTATTGTTTGTTAGACTTGACCTTATTTCAGACTGCTGACACAAATATATAACAAAAATACATGATTCTTTTAGGAGGTAGAAATAATTTGTCAATATAAAAAGTGAGTACTGAATACTTTGAATCTGTACCTTTTCACTCTCAATTAAAATTATCATTAAGTATGATTTTTTGCAGTACTGAGGATTGAATATAGGGTTTTTGCTCTGAGGTACATTCATGTTTCTTTATTTTTAATTTGAAGAAAGGATCTCACTAATTTTGAGACAGGATCTCACTAAATTGTTCAAGCTGGGCTTGAATTTATGATTTTCCTCCCTGAGCCTCTGAGAGTGCTGGAATTATGGGCCTCTGCCAACACAGTCAGCTAAAATATGGATTTGTCACATGAATAATATTGGGGACCAGAGCTATCAACTCATTAGTACTAAATACACCTATGGTTTAATATGTTCATTATTATAATCTATACAATGCTGATTAATGCATGAAGCAGTTTCCTTATGTTCTCCGAATTATTTTCAAAATGAATCTTTGAGATAATTGTTTCTCTCACTATATTATTAGACATTTGAAGAAAAATGAACCTGAATCCTAGAACAATTTTTTTGCTTTCCTAGGCTTACCCAAGGCCATATAAATTCAAGTGCCTATTTGGTAACTTCTGTGTTCTTGTAGGGCATAACCTGACTAATTTCTATATAAGAGGGAAATTTGTTAACAGAAAGTTAATTTTATTTTAAAGTGACAGCTTGCTGGAAATGAACGATACAGGCTTATGAAGTTTCCCCACATTAGAATCCACAGATAGCTGTGCAAAGAAACTGCTTATGAACCTAGAAAGCAAAAGTTCACCAATTCGGTCAACAATCACCTGTTATGTACAGCCACTGGGTTAGGCCATAGCTGCACAGAGATGAGCAAAAGAGACAACTGCTCCCCCACAACTCCTGCCTTCTCATAATACACAGGGAAACAAATTTAAAGTGCTTGGAGTAGAAGCAAACCAAAGCCAACCAACAAGACAGGCCTGGATTGAATCAGTGAGGGAATTTCCGCCTAGGCAGGAGCAGGGAGTTAGGAGACTGTTATACATTGTTGTTACCATTGTTGGGGAAATGGAGGACAACAGACTCCCTCAGTCAAGACCCCAGTAAGGCTGCACTTGGTACATTGTCATGTTTCCTGGTAAGTCAGTATCTTCGTGTTTTCTTTTATGTTCAAGACTGGCATCCCGAGAGCACTACAGCTAAACCTTCCTAGATTCTGAACCCGGCTCAAGGAGAATATTAGTTTATCATAAGTAATGTTGGGTGAGTATAGAATAATTTCAGTAAAAATGTAATATTCTGAGGCATATGATTCAATCCCACAGCCACAAAACCTTCCTCTCTAAATAGAAGTTAAGGACACTGTACATGGTTAAATGAGTACAGGTAAGTATTGCCTTTGTATTCTCAATTTATCTGTGGTACTCACTGACCATCTTCTTTTTGTGACGCACAACTTCTGTACAGATTTTAATATTACCTGCTAGACATGGAAATGGTGGAAAGAGGAATGGATTTGCATTTTGTGCCTGCTCATTATTAGCCACGTGACCTCAACCAATTGACCTAATTTCAAGTACATAGCTGGCAAGTAGGCATCTGTGTAGTTCTCGTCTCAAGCTGAATAAATATAAGTTAAAATTACTCTGAGGTTCAATTTTCTCAACTCTAATTTGGGAATTCAACATTTTTTCATTTGTGGCTCTCTTCAAAGGTGACAGTTTCTATTTGATATTTGCGAATAAAATTAGTTCTAAATTAAATCTCTCTTTGTCTAGTTGACTTCTAACTCCGTGACCATTCACACCACACAGAAATTCTGCACCTTTCAACAGGCAATAAACTGAGTGTTAAGGTAAAAGTTGAAACTGAAAATTGGTGATGATTGTGAAAAGATGGATTTTGTGTGTATCTTCCAGGTAGTAATTATTAATAACCTAATAACATGCAATACCTTGTATCACATATCTGCTCAAAAAAACCTAACAAAATTAAATTGTATGCAAAGTTTGGATGGCAGCTAAGTCATAGTCTCTAAATGTTCAGCTGTGTTTTGTGTTCCCAAACCAAGTTAGTCCCCAATAAAAAAAATCATCTTATCTGCCTGTCTTTCGGGACTCTGTCTTACCAGAAACACTTTCTACCCTTTCTCCGCAGGACTTCCCTTGTTTGAGGAGTCCCTTGTTGGAGAAGTAGGTACAGGGAACCTACTCCTACACATTGCTTGGCCTGTTCTCCCTGTCAGGATATTCTACTTCTTACTTTTCTGCTAGACCTGCCTATTTTTAAATATATTTTTATTGGTACATTTGAGGTATGCAGTACAGTTACATTCATCATTGGGATCTCGTACCTTTACATGATGTATCTTGGTTCTTATTTTTCCTTTTTCCATTTTTTATTTTATAACAGGGCTACACTAAGTTGCTAAATTCACCAAGTTGGGTGCAGGCTTGTGATTCTCCTGCCATTGCCTTCCAGAGTGCTGGTATCACAGTATACACTGGATCCCCTATCCTCCCTTCCCCCCCTCCGCCCCTCCCTATTTATAAAGACTTTGTTTCCATGTTTTTCCTTTTCTCTTATTTTTTTTAGACATGACCCTTTTTTTCTCTGTGTTTTAAGATCTGGCCTAAGTCTGAAACTTGGAGAACTCTCTCGTTTTTTATTAGCTCCTTCTGGAAATAAATAATAACAATAATGTTCATTCTGGCCACATGATGTAATTATATTCTCTATCAAACATTCCACAAATAGATTTTTTTTTATTTTTTAAAGTGAATTGTGAACTTTTTGATGGAACACAAAATGGGTCATATGTTTCTTATTCTTTACTGTCTTAGAACAGATTATGCTCAAGTGAGGCTATCAGTAATAATGTATACATGCTAGTGCAGCAAAAAGATCTTTTTGTTTTCTGATATTTATCTTTCAATAATATAAAGAATATTAAACAACAAGATATAGCTCTGAAGTTTATTGGAAAACACAAATAATGATGTGGTTTATCATTTTCCAAGTTGTTATGGCAATCTATATAACAACTCAAAACAAAATCTGTTTGAATCAGAAACATCTGGGTAATCTGTCAACTCACAATAGATAAAGTAACAGCTTTTTGTTGAAAATGTGATTCTTTACCAGCTATTGTCGTATGCTCTGGAAGTTTACTAGAAGTACAAGTTCACCTATCATACTCAAGACCCACTAAAAATAATTTAGATTTTACAAAACATCATCAGGATATTTGTATGCATACAAAAGATCAAAAGACTGAACTAGCTGATTCTTCAGGCAAAATTTTTCAATTGTCCTTAATGGGAAAACAAGGCACAATAATAGTTGGTACTGTAATAAAAAAACAGAAAACAAAAAACAAAAAACAAACAAACAAAAAACCCTTCAGACTTCATTGTCAAAGAGCTGAGGCTCATACTTCTTTTTTTTACCTACAGGAGGAAGCCACATTTCATCTTTCACATTTGGTAAAAGAATTCTGAATAGTCAGAAGATTCCTTTGCTCTTTGTAAAGTATAATGTGCTAAACACACATATATACAAATGTACTTAAGCTGTATTATTGAGTTCTCGGATTCACTTAAACAATAAATCATCACAAATAACTCAGAGTCATAGAATAAAACAAATGAGGAGAGAGTATGTGTTGTTCTCCAAAGATTGTCTGTCACATACATGCAGACATGGTTTACACAATAGTCTTGCCATAGGAAGATGAAATGCAAGAGTGGGCTGTTACTCTGAAATCAACAATTAACTTTAGCTTTGCACAGATGCTAAACGGCAATGTCTGTGTTTCAGTTTGCTGTGAACAAATGACTGCCTTGTAAAGATAAACAGTTAAATGCATGGAAAAAGATTCCGTTTTAGGTAGACATATATGCATAAAAATCAAAACTGTTTTAAAGATTCTGAACATTTCTGTTAAATATTGGATTGAAACCTTTGTTAGTTTTTGCTTTCTCCACTGTGCTCTCACTGGGCTTGACTAAATGAAGAAATCGAGTTTGTTTTCTGCAATATTCTAGGGCTTTTAGAGAATTCAGCGTGGAGTATTTTTAACAATAAGGAGTGTTGATTCTGAATTTGTTTCAGATCCTAGATATACCTTCACACATGAGAGCTAGGGTAGAAAATCTTGATATCCTGGTATCACTTTATTTTATGCATGCTGTTGAAGAAAATTGAAGGGCAGAGCTTTAAAACACTTTCATCCTAAAGGTAATGCTTTTTAAAGAATTTGTTTCATTGTTGCTCGACTATGAAAGCATTTTGTGCTGGAGCTTCTTTTGACATCCTGAAAGCTGGGACATGGATAAGATAAACCAGACATCAATGGCAGAATTCATTCTTCTTGGACTCTCCGGCTACCCAAAACTTGAGCTCATTTTCTTTGCTGTGATTCTAGTTATGTACCTAGTGATTCTAACAGGCAATGGTGTTCTGATCATAGCAAGCATCTTTGATTCCCGTCTTCACACTCCCATGTACTTCTTCCTGGGGAACCTTTCTTTTCTGGATATCTGCTACACATCTTCCTCTGTTCCATCAACACTGGTGAGCTTAATCTCAAAGAGGAGAAACATTTCCTTCTGTGGATGTGCAGTGCAGATGTTCTTTGGATTTGCCATGGGCTCAACAGAATGTTTGCTTCTTGGCATGATGGCTTTTGATCGCTATGTGGCCATCTGCGACCCTCTGAGGTACCCCATCATCATGAGCAAGGGGGTGTATGTCCTGATGGCTTGTGTGTCGTGGTTCTCTGGTGGAATAAATTCAATTGTTCAAACATCTCTTGCCATGCGATTACCTTTCTGTGGAAATAACATTATTAATCATTTCTTGTGTGAGATCTTAGCTGTCCTCAAGCTAGCTTGTGCTGATATATCCCTCAACATTGTTACCCTAAGTGTTTCAAATATGGCCTTCCTGGTTCTTCCTCTTCTGGTCATTTTTTTCTCGTATATGTTCATCCTGTACACCATTTTGCAAATAAACTCAGCCACAGGAAGACGCAAGGCTTTTTCCACCTGCTCAGCTCATCTGACTGTGGTGATTATATTTTATGGAACCATCTTCTTTATTTATGCAAAACCCAAGTCTCAAGTCCTCTTTGGGAAAGGTAGTTCCCAAGCTACTGAAGGGCTCTTTTCTGTGTTTTATGGGGTAATGACTCCCATGCTGAATCCTATAATCTATAGCTTGAGAAATAAAGATGTAAAAGCTGCTATGAAATATTTGTTCTGTCCGAAAGCAGGTAACAAATAGCACCTAAATATTGCTCTTTAATGAGGAATTAATGTAACCATTCCACAATGTGTCAAAATATCATGTTGTATGCCATGAATATATAAACTTTATGTTTGTCTTTTAAAACAAGTTTAAAACCAAAATAAAGTGATACTATTTGGCAATCATAACGGACCTTGTTTTGGGAAAGAAAAATTATGGGGAGAGAGATTTATTCTTTGCCTTCATTAGCTCTGCTCAACTACAAACCCTGAAAATAGCAGTGTGTTTAAATCAGAGTCTAAGACGTTCTGATCAATCTATTTCAAAGACAATGAATTCCTTTAAAATCTTATCCCTGAAATGAGTGTCTCTGGTGTACTTGTGGCAATACGCTGGAAAATATAACACACACCACACGTAAGGGTTTAGATAGCAGGGATGTAAAGTATGCTCTCTCAAAACCAACTTACAGATATGAAGAAGGCTATTCATCCTTTCTGAACTGTAGTTTATTTTCAAAAGCTACAATAAATCACACAAAATACCTGTGTAGTGCCAAGTTTATATAGTACTTCCCTTTGTAGAGGGTGCTGAGTTTGATTTTTTTCCTATTGATGCAATTTAGGAGTTGAACTAAAAGGATAAGATAGGACCTGTTAGTTTAGTCAGTTACCTATCATTAGAGTCCAGCACCGTTCCCTGAAAGTTTTTATATTAATATGAATCTCCATCACTTCTTGCCATTTCATCAGAGTATTTATATAAAGGAAGCATCAACCAGTTGCTGTGGGAGACTAAGAATTCTGTTTTTTTCTAATCTATGTCAAATGAGGAGATGCCACAGAAGAGCATTTTAAAGTTTTGAGATGCCGTCAAAGAAAGAGAAATTAACATCTGACTTGAAGAATGGAGGCTTGCTGAGCTGTCTCCCTGTAGCCTTGAGCTAGAATAAGTTTCCTAGAGCTGCAAATAATTAGAAATTTTTAAGTTTGCCTGAAACATTTTACTTGGTATTTCATAAAATCAACCAAGACATTGTTTTATCATAAGCAGAATAAAAATATTAATATAGAGAAATACTGAATACTATTATTTAATTTAATGGTCAACAAACAATGACTTTGTGCAAAACCTGGCCCATAGGCATTATTGTATAAGTTTTTACTTATTTTTTAACTTTGTAAACATATGGCTAAATGTATACAGGATTCTACCGTCCAGCTTTGTGTGGCCTCCTAAGCTAAAAATGATGTTTACATTATTGAACTGTGGAGGAAATTAAAATATTACTTTGTGACACAAGAAAATTACATGAATATTAAGCTTGAGTATCTATAAAGCTTAAAAAACTATTTATTTTCAAATAATTATAGACCCATAGAAATTTGTAAAAATAGTAGATACTGTATCATGTATCCTTCTTCCAATTCCCCCCTGAGCTGATATTATATCATCATAGCTAATGGCAAAATCATGATTGGCTCAATATTATTAATTAGATTTCAAACCTTTTTTGGTTTTACTATTTTAAAATCTGTTCATCCATGTGTACATATATATATGGGTATTTTGGTCTATGAAATTTTATCCCATGTGCACATTCATAAAAAATCAAAATACATGACCATCATAAAAAATCAAAATACATGACTCTTCCCTTACTATGAAGGAATTCCAGGGATGGTTAATGTTAATGTGTCAACTCTGCTACTCTATCATTTCCATATGTTTGATCTAACACGATGCTGTGAAGATGTTCGTTAGATATGATTAACATTTAAATAACTAGACTTTGAATAAAATGGATTATCTCCATACTGTGGATGGCCCACACTCAAAAAAGTAAATTCCATAATATCTGCATCCACTGAAAAATTTCAAGCTATACAAAGAAACTAACACATATAACTTACTCAGTAGAAAAGAACCAAGAAACTGCAGTGACTATGAAATGAGAGACAAGAAATTTAAATGAGATTCTGTGATTACAAGAAATATGTTGGAATATTTAAAGGAAAGTAGAGATGTAATGTGAAGGGAAGTGGAGCAGACACCATTTTTAGAGGTAAAGGATTCAGTGTATGAAATTTTTACTGGGTGATCTTAGTAGCAGGGTGGAAACTGCAGAAGTAATGATCAGTGAAAATAAAGACGTAGCAACAGAAAATAACCTAAATTCACCATTAAAAATAAAGGTTTGAATGTAAAACAAATAGAGCCTCAAAGAAATTTAGAAACTATCAGATCATGCCATCTATATTTATATATTTTAATATATTTTGATATATTTATATACTTGCATAAGTCCCAGGGGAAGGAAAAAAAAGAGAGGTTTTGATAAAATATTTAAAGGGATAAATGATTGAAAATTTCCCAAATTTTATGGGAGCTATAAGTTCAAAGATTTAAGACATTTAGGATAACAAACCAGAAAAAATGTCAAGAAAACAATAACACAAAATGTAATCATATTGCTTAAAACTAGTGATACCTACATTTACACTGCATTACATGTGTAAAAGAGACTCTTCTTCAAAAATATGTGATCTTAATTTAACTGTAACTTTTAACTTAGTTGTAACTTTTTAACTTATAAATTATTTTTACCTTTAAGTCTTTTGTATTAACACATAGCTTAAAACACAAATATGTATTTGTACACAAATATGTACAGAGGTACCAAATAATTTTTATTATATCATTATTGTATAAGCCTTTACTTATTTTTTAACTTTGTAAACATTTGGTTAAATGTATACAAGATCAGTGTTACCTTCCAGCTGCTGGGTTCTCCTCTCCACCCAAAAGGAGTTACAAGGTAGAGAGACAAAAAAGGACTGAGCAAAAGTATTGATTGTAGAATGAAAGAAGAAAGCAGCACTTCATGGTAAAGAGACAGCAAATGGATCTAATACTAGAAGGGGACCCAAATGAGGTTGCAAAAGAAACTCTTTGGCTACGGTTGTTATTCACTAACTGGATTACATCTTGGCCAAGTACATAGGGTTACAAGCAGGAAAATTTGACTTAGAAGTGGGCCCATCAGAACTTGGGGTTGTAGGCGTCCTTCTGTAAGCACCATTAATTGCAACTTTAAATAGAACAAAGGCATTCCTTGTAGAGGTATGAATATGTTACCTCTGGGCAAGAAAATCCTGTCCATCCAATGTAGCCTTTGTTGAGCCTCCATGCCCTGGTCTTGGCCATCGTGTCCCTTCCTGGATCTCCTTGGCTGGTGTTCTGCCAAAAAACTCTCCCCTTTCTCCTCTTCTTATGGGCCAGTGTGACTCTGAGAAATCCTCTCATCTTCTCACAGACAGGTCCTGATCGTCCTTAACATCATGTTGTACAGAAACTAATTGTTTAGATTACTGTTGGGAGCCTCTTGTTAGGAAAATAACACATAAACCTTAGAAAATAGGACCTAAGCCCAACAAGGCCAGGGCTGAAGGTTCATGGTTTATTCTCCCCAAGTCTCTTGTCACCTTCCTGCTTTAGTCAGGATCATCAGTGCAGCTCTCTTTCACCCCCACATCTCGTCCTTCTGAAACGTTGTCAGTAGCAATGATAACAATGCCTTCTCTGGAAACCATCCTGAAAGACCTTCCTGAGGCTGTTAACTTTTTCTAAATAGGTAGAATTAGTAAACTCTAAATTAATGATAAGAAGTGCAGCGTAGTAAACACATAAACCAATTGGAAAGTTATGTTTTCTTTATATAATAACATTAGCAAGTACTATGAATGATACAAGCATATGTGCTAGGCTTTTATTTGGCTGGTGGTGCAGCAGGTGTATTATACCAGCATCACTATCACTATAAAGTAAGGTTTTGCACAACAAGGTTAGTGTGGCTGATCTTAGTACTATGGGATAGGAACCTTTGAGCTCCCTTGTAATCTTATGAGAACCCTACTGTTTATGTGACCCACCCTTAACATGTCCTTATACAATACATGAGGTTTTACTTTAAGCCCTGCAATTGTTTTTACTGTATTGCTTTATATAGTCAATTTTAAAGGAATTAAAAGCAGTGAAGAAAATTGCATTTTGTTTATCCCTATGTTTACCTTTCCAGCACTCTGTACTTTTTTTCTGCTGATTCATGTTCTCATTTGATGCAGTGTTCTGTTCACTGGAAAAACTATTTTAGTAAGAGGTAGTTCTAATCTGCTAAGATTTATTCTGAAAATTTCTTATATAACTTTCATTCTGTAAGAATATTTTAATTGATAGATTTATTGTTCTTTCAGCACATTAAGGATATTACTGCATTGCTTCTAAGAATGGTGTAGGTGATCAATTCTATCTTTAATAATCTATGTGAGTGTTTTCTTTCTTTAGCCTTCTTTTTTAAAGATTTTTCTTTTTAGTACTAATTCATTGAGTTATGAATTGATAGCGCCGTGTGTGTGTGTGTGTGTGTGTGTGTGTGTGTGTGTGTGTGGTGTCTGCATGTTTTGGATCTGTAAGTTTTTTAAAATTTTGAAATTTTGGAACATTTTATCTACTTGGGGGTTCTTTTCTTGACTACTGAAATATCAGCTATATGTATGATGGACTATACAATATTTCTTATACATCAAGGGAGTCTAGGCATTATTTTTCTAGCCTTTTTTGTGTGCTCTATCGTTAAACTTACTTATATTTTAGTCTATACTGTCTAACATGCTACTGCTACCACATGGAAAGTTTTTCATTTTACTTGTTGTATGTTCCAATTCCTGAGATTACTTTTAATAACCTTTCTCCTTATTATGCTCCTTTTCTCTAAATTCTAAGTAATTTATAGTAACTCATCTGTTAATTTTATCATTTTCATTTGGTTTTTACTGAATAGCTTATGTTTTCTTGTAATTATGGGAGATAACCCGCTTCTCTGCACAGTTTACAATTTTGGGTTGGATTTGAGTCATTCTCACTTTATATTACTGAATGAATGCATACTTTTGTGTTCTGCCTTTAGAATTGCTGGGTATATTCTGGCAGGCAGTAACTGCAGCTTCTCTTAATTCCTTTGAGGCACGTTTTTAAGT